TCTTGTCAGATGATCCATCCTGTGCTTTTGTTTCTCTGAAGTATTTTGCTTTCATTTTATTGTCACGTTACTTGGGTTTCAACTAAGATTTTGTGCACCACATAGGTATATTTTTATACAAGTTTGCAATATGGAAATGCATAACACAGTAAGAACTATAAAATAAAAATTCACATTATGGACCTCTTGGATAAAAGAAAAAGCCAATCTTTGTATGTGCATAGCACTGTAAATTATTAAACAACAAAACCAAACAAGCAGCAGGAAGTCTGCCTGGGATTATTTTCCCTCCAACAATCTCCTATGCAGATTTCCCTTCCTATACAGATCATCTGGGATTTAATTAAAAGAAAGAAGCACATTCTTCTAAAACAGTAGCCCAGAGATTTGAGAGTTATGTATACTTCACAACTGTTTTGAAATTTCAGAAGTTGCTTTAACTTATCAGAATTAAAATATAATATAGATGTTGGAGAACTCTTTTTTTTTGTTTTGTTTTCTAGATTTCTTATTCTTCATTCTTGTTTAGAAACTACCACATATCTCAGCGAGGGAATAAATTAAAGTTAGTAAACAGTCCAATTTCCTTTATTCTTTTTTTTTTTAAGTATATTGAAAGTTCAGAAAGCTGCCTTGTTTTATCAGCATGTTTTTTGCATGGTTTTGCACAGGATGCGTTTTATACTAAAGCCACAGCAAAAAGTACCAATAATATACTGAAGGATAGTGCATTTCTAAATACAGTACTAGATCAGGGATGAGAAAATGTTTTCCTTCTAGATATTGCTGGATCACAACTCCCACAATCCCTGGCCATTGGCTATATGGCTGGGCCTTATGGGAGCTGGAACATGTGGAGGGGGATCACAAGATTCCCCATCCTACCTGTTAAAAAACAACAACATGGTTTCAAAAGCTTGTCAGTTTCTATATTAAATTCTCTCTCTCTCTCTCTCTCTCTCTCTCTCTCTCTCTGTGTGTGTGTGTGTGTGTGTGTGTGTAAAAACAAGTAAGATGCATTTACATCAGTCATCTTTAAATCTTAGCCAGGAATGAGCAAATTGGGCCAGATTCTGCTCTTGTATGTTTCTTTAGATCTGTGTATGTGTGTGATAGTGTTAATGAGATAGAAGGGTGTGTGGGTGTGTGTGTGTGTGTGTGTGTGTGTGTGTGTGTGTCAGTGTTAGGACCAAAGCCTTGGTTTCCACTTTTCCATTGACATTTCCTGTTTATGAATGGAAATAGGAGAGTAAAAGACAAAACCATTTTCAGGCATTAAGCCTACTCAATTAAAAACAATGAAGAAGGGGGGTGCAGTTGTGCCTGCTCCCCTCCCCCCCCCACTGGCTCTCCTTCTGACCTTTGGTGTGTCCAGCTGAGGGCACTTTGAATGCTTTTCACAACGCGTTCCATATCATGAGGAAGATACCAAGTGTGTTGTTACTTTCTTGAGTTATCTGTTCAGCATGGGTTTGAGATCTGTGTCATGGGCCCACCAGTTGCTGGATCTAGCATCTGCTTCTGTGTTATCCATTTACCAAATGGGGTAAATAGTTTCTAAAAGGATGTTGGTCTAGATGGGGCTTTGGTCTGATTCAGCAAGCCTCTTCTTATGTTCATTCCCCAACCTGCCATTTTGTGACTGATTCAGGCCTCTTAAAATGTTATAACAACTTATGGAAGCCCTACATCCATTATAATGATTCATAAAATTTTAAACAGGTGGAGAGAATCAGTGGAGAAGGATTTCTTTTTCCAACAAATGAGAGAGGAACAAAAATTGGAGTTGGTCGGAGAGAAAGCTGGTCTAGACATTCCATGTTGGACCAAAGATAATTATTCTTTTTTTATGAGTGACCATTTAATGTGTTTTATAGCATACCAATAAAAATATAAGAAAAATTGCAATTATTTTCCATGTCCCTCACAAATATCTCAGAGCACAACTTAATTACCACACAATCTTGGTTGGGGTTTCCACTCCCCCCCTTCCCCTAGCTACATTTTAAAGATCTTGCACACAGCTGTGTTTGATTGTAGATAATAAAGGAAACTGGATCCTTCAAGGGAAATTATATGTTATTGAAACATCTTCTAACTAAAGGAGCATCTGTGGCTTAAAAGTCTCCTATTCTGTAATATCAATTTAAACGTAAAAGCAGGAAAAAGGTTTCATCTAGCAAGGCTGTTTATTAAAAATTAAAACTATGTCTTCTGTAGCATATCTGGTTTGTATATATTATGAGGCGTATGCACAGGGCTAGGTTTGGGGGGAATATTGAAGATGACTGCACATCACCACTGTCCATTCACAATTCCAAACGCCAAGCAAAATTTTAACGTCAGCTGTGATGGTGACCAGTGCAGCTGAGGGCTGTAGGAGAGAAATAGCAGCACAGCCCATGGAGTACATTTTGCCTAGAGCCCCCTCAAACCAGGTTATGTTCTGAAGCCACATGACACCACCACCTGGTATGAAGCTCAGCAGGCCTGAGTCTCGTCAATGTCCAGATGGGTGACCACATCTTTGCCACCATAGGTTCCATGACACATGAAAGACAGGATATAAATATAATAAAATAATAACAACATTAATAACTGTATCCATCATGTCCCACTGTACTATGCAAGCTCAATGTGTAAAATTGCAGAGTGGTCAACGAGGATAAGTTTAGAAAGCAGGAGAGTTTAATGTATACAGGCTATCGTTTTGCACAGGGATTCCATTCCAGACCTCACATGCGTCAGCAGAGTGCGTGTAAGCCTGCCCTACCCCTTTTCCTGATGTCTTTATGACATTTTGGGACTACTTCTGGGTTTGGCACCTGTGCTACCTTGAGTTATGTGGTGATAAGGGAGGAATTTAAAATAACTGTAACAACAACAGCAATACTGCACTACCATTAACAAACAAACAAAAAAGCTTCTGTTATTTTCACACAGAAAATATGCTCACTGCTCTTACACATCCCCACAACAGAAATATGAAACTTGTCAAATGAATTGGTTTGCTGATGATGTCATTGTTTGACATACAGTAATCTCAAAATAACATGATTTAATTTGACAGTAATTAAATGCCCACTATATCCCCAGAGAAAACCCACCTGTGATCACTCTGAAAGGCCACAGGATGCCATTCCTGCTTCATGAATGCAGCTTTGAAAACATTAACTAATTGGCTGAAAATTCCCACTAAATTTGAATAATTTGAAATATGACCAGATAAAAAGGTTAATACTACATTTAAAACACATGCGCAAAACTGTCCACATCCTCAGACTTATATATATATATATGCAGGAAAGTGTGACACAATTTGTAATATTTTATTTCTTTCTACCACTTCTAGGCTGCTTACAGACAAAAGTTTGTTGGACATTTTACAAAAATAAAATAAAATATATAAATATGATGCAATCCATAAACATACAAATAGCACAAAAACAGAGAACCAACATAAAACATTATCTAACAATATAAAAGCAGACGAGCATAAAATTAAAAACCAGTAAAAAAAAAAAGCAAACAGAAAGCAATTTCTGCTGAGATCTGAATGCACTGACTAATACATATTTGTCGTATTGTTATTAAAAGTCCTAGGATGATGAGGATGAGGATGATGCTCCAACAAGCACTGAAAAAAGCATAACCTAGGTAACCAGGGAAGTTTCTCTGGGAAGGCGATTCGACAATTGAGATAACACTATTGAGAAAGCCCTCTTCCTACTACACGCTTCCTGTCTATGGTGGGTGGAGACACCCTCAGAAAGGCCTCTGATGAAGATTTGAAGGACCAGGCAGGACAAGGAGGGAGTCCTTTAGAAAACAATGAAGCCCTAGATTCCTTGGAACCAGGTGAACACCAGCACTCGGAACTGGAAATGAACAGGGAGCCAGTGCAGTGGACAAAACTCTGGAATAATGTGGTCGTATCTGCCATTCCCCATTAATAATCTTGCTGTCCTATTTTGGACCTATCTAACTCTCTGGAGCATTTTCAAAGCAGTCCCACATGTAGTACATTGCAGCAATCCAACCAGGAGCTTATTAGAGTGTGGATAACGGCCACAATGCTCTCTCTCTCTCTCTCTCGATAGGGTTTTAAGTATATATCAGCCAAAGCTGATAATTGTACTCCAAGGCACCAAGATCACAGTTACAATGATAGATCCAAGAGAAAGCTACATTCATTAGCTTTCATTATCAACACTACACCTGCAGAAACTAACCCGGAGCAGGTATCTGTAAAGTGCTTTGCAATCCTGTCCCAGCAGGCTGAGGATTCTTCAAATTCCACTTGAGGGCCAAGTTGCATAAAGCTCCTCAGAAAAAGTTTATTTATATGGCACTGTGCACATGCAGTGGTAGTGCAAAAGTATAACTTCTTATCGCTATCATTACCATATAGTTGTTTTCAAACTTCAGCCAGTGAAAATGCAGTGGCCAGACTGGTTTCTGAAATCAGCATTCATTGTCATATTTTTATTTTGTTTTGTCCATCTGCCACTGGCTTCCAGTTTATTTCAAAGCGTAATTCAAAGTGTTGGTTCTTACCAACAACATCCTAAATGGTTTGGAGACTTGAAGTACTCTGAAGCTGATGGGATTTTCTTTACAATCAAGCAGTATATAAATTTTATGAAATAAATAAACAATAGCAAATAATCTCTCCATTTAACGTGTTGTTTTAAGTGCTTTCCATGATGATGCAAGCTCCAAAAACCTGGGAAATTACTGCTGTCTTCAGCCAACACAATCTATAAACATGATGAGTGAAGAGTCTCTAAATTCAACTTGGCATACTGCATTTAAGAGGAAGAATAAACAAACAGGAATTTTTTTGGGGGGGGGAATATTCTGAAGAATTATTTCAGGAAAAAGGAAATGATCCTATTTTTTCAAGAGCCATCTTAATGAAGTGAATAGCATACACAACTATTCTTAAATGCCATGTTTTATAATGGGTATCTCACGCAAGTTATTTACCGTATACTTACTTTGCGTAGTCAAAAAGTCGGCTATCCCACAATGCATGTGTTCCTCTAGGACCAGAGTGGAAAAATGCATCATCTGTGCCATCAAATTTGTTCAGGCCATCCTCAGAATTCTTTGATGCGTGGCTGTGTACAACATCCAGCAAGACAGTAATTCCCATTGAGTGGGCCACATCAATTAGTTCCTTCAAGTCATCTGGAGGTCCATAACGGCTAAAATGTTGAACATTGAACGTTATTGGTTTACTATGCCCTAGAGTCATATATACTCGCTTAGTGGTGGCACATATGCTTTGTGTGTATGAGATTTTTTAACATTTCTTGTTCAAATGGTCCTAGGTAGCAAGGGTGAGATAAGCTCTTTCAAAGATGGTACCAATCAAAGGAGACAATCCCAGTGCTTGGAAGACCAACAGCTTCCCTCAGTAGAAAGAGGTAGCTTTTTTACTCCCTGCAAATGTTGGCACACTGCAAACGCTCAAGCCTTGGAACAGAAAAAAGAGGGCAAATCACTTTCCCTTGTTAAGGCTTAATAATAATAATAATAATAATAAATTTTATTTATATCCCGCCCTCCCCAGCCGAAGCCGGGCTCAGGGCGGCTAACAACAGTCAAATAGTCAAACAGTCAAATTCTAAAAACATTCTAAAAACATTTCATTATAAAAATTAATTAAAATCAAATTGTTGGCAACCGATTAGGCAAGATTCTGTGCAGGTTGCCAGAGGAGGGAGTCAGGCTGCGCCCTGACCAAAGGCCTGGTGGAACAACTCTGTCTTGCAGGCCCTGCGGAAAGATGTCAGGTCCCGCAGGGCCCTAGTCTCTTGTGACAGAGCATTCCACCAGATTGGAGCCGCCGCCGAGAAGGCCCTGGCTCTAGTTGAGGCCAGCCTAACCTCTCTGAGGCCTGGGACCTTGAGGATGTTGTTATTTGCAGACCGTAGGTTTCTCTGTGGGGCATACCAGGAGAGGCGGTCCCGTAGGTACGAGGGTCCTAGGCCGTATAGGGCTTTAAAGGTTAAAACCAGCACCTTAAACCTGATCCTGTACTCCACCGGGAGCCAGTGCAGCTGGTATAGTACCGGATGAATGTGATCTCGCAGCGAAGACCCCATAAGGAGTCTCGCCGCGGCATTCTGCACCCGCTGGAGTTTCTGGGTCAGTTTCAAGGGCAGCCCCACGTAGAGCGAGTTACAATAGTCCAGTCTGGAGGTGACCGTCGCATGGATCACAGTGGCTAGATCAGGGCGAGAGAGATAAGGGGCTAACTGCTTAGCTTGGCGGAGATGAAAAAATGCCGCCTTTGTTATAGCTGTAATCTGCGCCTCCATAGAGAGGGAGGTATCGAAGATTACACCCAAACTCTTAACGGACGGTGCTGGCACTAATTGCACCCCCGCAAGAGATGGGAGTTGCCCCCTCGATCCCATATCGTCCCGCCCCAGCCAGAGGACCTCTGTCTTCGAAGGATTTAACTTCAACCGGCTCCCACGAAACCATCCAGCCACAGCTTCCAGACATCTGGTCAGTGTGTCTGGGGCCGAGTCAGGATGGCCGTCCATCAACAGATAGAGTTGGGTGTCATCAGCATACTGATGGCAACCCAGCCCAAAACTCCGGACAAGCTGGGCGAGGGGGCGCATAAAGATGTTAAAAAGCATTGGGGAGAGAATCGCACCCTGAGGCACTCCACACACCAAGGAGTGACGCGATGACAATTCCCCCCCAAGCGCCACCCTCTGTCCCCGACCAGAGAGAAACGAGCGCAGCCATTGAAGGACTGTGCCCTGGATCCCCACGTCGGCAAGGCGGTGGTCCAGAAGTTCGTGATCGACCATGTCAAAGGCTGCTGACAGATCAAGAAGAATCAGCAGCCCCGACCCGCCTCGATCCAGCTGCCTGCGGAGATCATCTGTTAGGGCGACCAGAGCCGTCTCGGTCCCATGCCCAGCGCGGAAGCCGGACTGGAATGGATCCAGAGCAGATGTTTCATCCAGAAACCTACCGAGCTGTTCAGCAACCGCTCTCTCAATCACCTTACCCAGGAATGGAAGATTCGAGACCGGGCGGTAATTGGATAGATCTAAGGGATCTAATGATGTTTTCTTTAAGAGCGGACGCACCACCGCCTCCTTCAGTTCCCCTGGGAATATCCCGGTGCCAAGGGACAAATTGATGATATCCCCCAGGGGGGCCCGCACCTCGTCTGGACACGCTCTAATTAGCCATGACGGGCACGGGTCAAGAGGACAGGTGGTGGGCTTTCCAGCTTGGAGGAATCTGTCCACATCAGCTGGAGATATCCGGTCAAAGTGGTCCAATACTGGACCCGAGGACAGTCGAGGGGCCTCCAGTTCCTTTATTGTATCCAAATTGGCAGGGAGGTCATGGCGGAGCAACAGGACCTTCTCCGCAAAAAAGCTCGCAAATGCCTCACAGCTGTGTGTCAGATTATTATTTAAATTTGGCTGTCCTTCGAGGGACGTTAAAGACCGAATTATACTAAATAATTGCGCCGGGCGAGAGCTAGCGGATGCAATGGAGGCTGAGAAGTAAGCCTTCTTAGCGGCCTTCACTGCCATCTCATAGGTTTTCATAAAAACCCTATAAGATGTTCTTGAGGCTCCGTCACGGGCGCCCCGCCATACTCGCTCTAGCCGTCTGAGGTCCCGCTTCATTTTCCGAAGCTCCTCGGTAAACCAGGGAGCCCGGTTTCTGCGGGGTCGCAGAGGGCGCTTAGGTGCGATCTCATCGATGGCTGCCAGGAGCTGGGTATTCCAGCCCTCAACAAGCTCAATCAATGAGTCGCCAGGGGGAGCAAGGTCCCGCAAGGCTTGACGGAATCTATCAGGGTCCATCAGCCTCTGCGGGCGAACCCAAATTGGCTCGCCACCTAAGCAGGGTGGGGGTGGAAAGTCAATCCTGGCTTTCAGAGCGTAGTGATCAGACCATGGCACCTTCATCGAAGGAGACATGATCACATCTATACCGGCGCCAAAGATCAAATCCAGCGTGTGGCCTGCTTGATGTGTGGGGCCCGAAACAAACTGGGAGAGCCCTAGTGTCGCCATGGAAGACACCAGGTCCAGAGCCTGTGAGGAGGGAGTGGCATCAGCATGGAAGTTGAAGTCTCCCAATACCAATAGGTTAGGGAACTCCAAGGCCCAGCCGGCCACCGCCTCCAGCAGGCCTGACAGGGTGGCTGCTGGTGCGCTAGGTGGCCGGTACACCAGCCAGACAGCCAAGCTCTCCTCGGAGCCCCACACTAGGCCAACACATTCAATGCCGGGGATCGATGGCGATGGTAGAGCCCTGAAAGGACAATCTTCCCGGATTAATACTGCCACCCCTCCCCCCCGGCCCACAGTCCGTGACTGGTGGAGGACGGAGAAACCCGGGGGCGCCATTTCTTAAAGAAATGAAAGCCAATTTGTCTTGACATGGGTGCTGTGAGCATGTATAAGATAAAGACTGTAAAGCACTTCAACACAGTGAAGTGCCTTATAAATGGAAAGACTGAAGTTTTAATTCGCATCACTTCTCAGGCATTTCAGGAGGAAATTATGGGAGGAATTCAACTTTGTAGTCTTCTGATCTAGAGGACTGGTTTATTCTGCCCACGTGAAATATTCTGTCCAGCTCTAGGCACCACAATTTAAGGAGGAGATTGACAAGCTGTAATGTGTGCAGAGGAGGGCAACCAAGATGATCGAGGGTCTAGAAAGCAAGCCTTAAGAGGAACAGTTGAGGGAGTTGGGTATGTTTCTCCTAGAAAAGACAAGACTGAGAGGAGATATGATGGCCATCTTCAAATATCTATCCGGCTGTCATGCGAAGGATGGAGCAAGCTTGTTTTCTCCTGTAGATATGCAGCTGGGAAGGGAGCAGGGCAAATAGACATTGCATCTCCATTCCCCCATCCCAACTGAAAACAGAGGAAGGATCAACTCTGTAGAATGCTCCTTCACATGGGGCTTCTTTGCAGGGATGCCGCTTGTGAAGGAGCATCCAGCACCCTGCATGATGCCTGCACACAACAGTTGTTGCACCGAGGCATTGATTCTGCAGCATGTTGCTTCAAGGACAGGACAGCAGGCAGGAAGGAGATTCAGGGAGAACCAAGCTCGTACCATCTCCTGGGAAAATATAGCTCTAGGCCACCCACAGCAATCCATACCTGCCCAAACTCAACTGTGACAATGTCCAAATCCCCCTGAAAGGCCCAATATTTGGCTTGGGGCTTGGCTGTATCTGGTACAGAATTCTAGTGTCTATACACACCTCTTTCCTCTTCTCGGACAAGCAAAAGGAATTGTTTGTTTGTTTGTTTGATTGATTGATTAATTTCTTACCCACCTGGAAGGTCTCAAGGCAGGTTACAACAATTCAAAATTCTATATTAAAAACAGTTTAAAACAAATTACAATCATGGCAATATGGTGTGTTTGGAAAATGTCTATCTCAGGTGTCAATGGCCAAGGCGTTATCAGTGTTAACAGAGTTAAAGGACAGATTATAGCCAGAAAAAATCCACTCAGCATACCAAGCTGAGAGAGTTGAAATGTATTTTTATGTTCTCTAACCTACATAATTTATGTCATATATGTGTAGTACTTATTTGGTCTGAAATTGTATCACAATTTAAAACCAAATAAAAACTACACATATATAGCAACAACCATATATTTATTATTTGTGTTATATGATGAAGGCTGAGTAATAAAGATAATAAATTATTATGATGATACATCATCATGGGAGCTGCTTTTCCATGGTTTAAAAGCCTTTTAATCAGTTGGACCTTACTGGGGGAAAATGATCCAAAAGAAACTTTCAAGCAATAAAGTAGCCAGATCTATAAAGCCGATGCTGTATCAAGCAGATTCCAAATATGTGTAATGAGATTATACCAACTCAGGATGTAGGTATTTCACAGCTGAGTGCAGCTACTGAACAACTGAATGCAAAACAATTTCCTACATTTGTGAAGCTAGAATATAAAAGGCGAAATGCACTTCCAAACATATATATATATATATAGCCTCCAGAAGATTTGACTCAATTTTGCCTCACTGACTGGTAGGCCTATCTGAAAACTTGCTTTTTGAAAACACCCAAAAATGTTGGAAAACAAAAATAAACTCATGAGACATAAAAACACTTTAGCATACCTGGACGCTGCAAAAAAGCTTGTAATCTGATAACCAAAACTAGCGTAGTAAGCATGTTCCATCACAGCCATCAACTGAATGCAATTATATCCTGTTTTTCCAAAAAGAAGAAAAAGAAGAAGGAAGAAACAAAATTTCAATCATGGTTGTTGTCATTTGTACAAAGTTTTTGACCTACAAGATATTCATTTTAGCTAAAAGACACATTGCATTTAGCCAGAAAAAGATAATTTAGACAATATGTTATGAGCAAACCTCCCAAAATAAAGCCTACGGGAGACATGACTTCCCAGCCATACTGGGAAGGTTGATTTCTCAAGCACTGAAAGATTAGCCTTTTAAGTACATAATATGCAAATATAATCATAATTTGACTTTAGAATATTAACTATGCCAATCTGCATGTCCTGAACTTCAACTGCACTTTTGATATTTACACTGTTGATCATAAAAAGAAAAAGAGTAACTGACTATGCACATACAAAACCTTGCGCTTTCCTTAATGTTTCAAACATGCACCATTTCTATCTAATCGTTAACATATTTTTCTCCAAATTCATTTCCCTCAAGGAATCTCTCTAAAAGAACAAACATTAAAGCAATGGAATTTTGCTTTGAAGCTTACTGAAGGAGCTGAGGACCAAAGGAAAAGAAAAACCTTTCTTTTTGTCCCTTATCCAACCCAAAATGTTTTTCTGTGATATTAAGTGAAGGAAATCTGAAGGGAAAAGTACAGTTTAATGATGAAACCGCCAGCACTTAAAACAAATCTTTTACTAAGCTAACTTTTATGTCAGCAAATAAATGCCCCTTCAGCCACCAAGCAAGGATTATAGGCAAAGGATAACCTTCAGATCTGTTTGAAACTCTGTGGAAGCCAGAGTTTCTCTTGTTTCTTAGTTTTCACTAAAATCTTTGACATGTCACTTAACCTGCTCCTCAAAATTTTCATAATGTTTACTTAATTACTTATTTTTTCTTTTGCCCTCAAATCAGGTGTGAGAGATGGGTAGTGTCAGCTTAGTTAACTTAGGTTGCAACCCTCAACACCTGAGCTACAGAGAAAGTCACACTGAAGAAAGTGGAGCTTTCTTCAAGAGAAAAAACAGCTAACAACCCTTCTAAATCAAACTAAAGTTCATCCAGACCAGCAAACACCAGACACCAGATGTTTATGAAAAGCCTAAAAGCAGGGCATGAGGACAACAGCTCTCATAAATTTATCCCTTTGAAAGCTGGTTGAGATGGTGACCATTATTACATCTTGTGGGAACAAATTTCTAGTTTGACCACACACTTTGTGAAGAAACACTTCCTTCATTGTCTGTCCTGAATCTCGCACAGTTCAGCTTCATTGGATTACTCCAGGTTTTGGTACTATGAGTGAGATCTAAAAGCTTATTTACTTTCTCCATGCCGTGAATAAATTTATAGACTATTTATGCACAACTTCTGCATACTGGATTGATGTCATATGGTACACACCGTGAGTGTGGTTCAACTAAGTTGTTGCATGTGTGGGACAAGGCCCACTCTTTACCCATGGTACATACCCCATTTTGCTCTACATTGACTAGAAAAGGGGTCTTCTACCCCATGACTTCAAGACCCCTTTCCTAGTCAATCTCTGATTGCTCAGGTCCTACTAATATAAATGCAAAGTTTGGATTTTTGTCTAAATGTGCATCACTTGACACATAATTATGCTGAGCCATGCAGATATTGGTAGGAATCATAAGACCACAATGTGACACCAACTTTGCACCAGTTGCACTGATTTTTGGTCGATTTCTGGGTCAAATTCAAAGTGCTAGTGTGAACCTTTAAAGCCCTTAATGTTTAGGTGTGACGTTACCTAAACAAGCATCTGGATAGAGAGGTACATTCTGTCTTGCTGAGGTTGCACTGAACTGTGCACTATCTGTGGCTAGGAGAGTGTTTCCCAGCAGAGGTTGATATGCCAAATATGACCCTAACTAGAGATACTGAACTTTGTCTAGGTCACCTTCAGGATTGTCTAATGCAATCTGTTCTTGTGGGTCTCCCTTTGAAGATGGTCCCAAAACTCTAATTAGGGCAGAATGCTGCTTCTCAGTTGCTGGTGGGAACAAGATCAGGACATGTAATGCCAATTTGTACCAGTGGTACCAGATGCTGGTTTTGAACTTTAAAGCCTTAGCAGTATGGAACCACAATTCCTGAAGAACCACATACACCAATATGAGTCTGGCTGCATATTTAGGTCTGCAGCAGAAGCTCTGCATATTTGGCTGGCTATATGGGAGATTCAGCTGGTGAGTACAAGAAACAAGGCCTTTAAAATCTCTCTTCTTTGGAACACTTTATCCTAAAGGTTATTCTCTCAGAATTGGTCGTTTGAGTAGCAACTATTTTGTTGGTAATTTATACTGATGTCTGTAAACTCTTTTAGCTGGCCTAGGTATTGTTAACATTGTTGCTATGCATTGTTTTATGATGTTCTGAATTGCCCTGGGTGGGCTATGCTCAGAAGGACTGTATACTAATTATTTTGGCATACATATTTTGACATTTCAATCAACAGTGAAAAATCAATTTTCAATATCATTTCCCCTTTATTTTTGCTGGGGCACAGATGTGTTTCTATTTCCTAATATTGAGTATTCACTTGTAAAATTGGGTTTATATTAGTATTTAAAAATGCTTTAAAAACTGCCTCTAAAAGAATTATTTTAAAACTTTCTTCACTTCAGTAGTTCTGAATACAGAGTTACGCAAACCTTTTCTGTTCTGTATTACTTAGTTTATTCATGACTATTTTCATTTTATTGTTTTCTTGGCAACTAACCCATGCATCCAGCTATAAAATAGTTTTAGAAAATAGTTTTAGAAATGCATGTTTAAAATGTCATTTTTTTATCTAGCTTTTAAGAAAATGCTTGCTCCTTTACAGATGTACTAAAGAAAAATTAGCTACTTTGCTTGCAACAATGCAGTGACGCAGAGATGCAGGATGATACATGCAATTAGATTAATAATTTGAAATACGAGTTTTATTTCTGGTTGTTGTACTCCACAAATAAATGATCTAAACACTATAAAAAGCACTCATCCACATGAGGATTTCAGTCCCTTTTAAAAAAATATAAAACCTTTAGTTCAGTACAAAAGAATGTTCAGCACACTAAAATACATTGCTATGATGCATTAAATATCAATACGGAGACAATCCACAGACTCTCGAAATGAGCTTTTCTAATAAAAGCACAGGGCTCATTAAAAATTTATCTCAGAAGAAGCCTCAGATATTACTTACCAAGATCCTTGACTTTCGGAAGTACATTGTGTGTGAAGTTTTTATATGAAGCTATTTTCCCTTCAGGGGAAGCAATTCCCACATGAGATTCATAGATCCTTAAGCTTTTAGGCTTCTTAGGAACAGGATGTCTCCGCTGCACAATGGAAAAATGATTTGGGAATAAAAATGTGAGAAGCTGTCAGTTATATTAGACAAGAACTGGTAATCTGAACCAGCACATTCACTTTAAGATAAATGCAGCTGTTATATAACAAATCACATAAATTCGTAGGGTGGGGGGCAAGGCAACTTCAGTCTCAAGACTGGTATCATCCGTACGATTTCCCTTCACAAAACTTTCTCTTTGGTCATGATAGTCCCTTGCCACCAACCGAATACCAAAATGGCCAGGATTAAGTGAGCTGCTTGGGTTCAGCCTTGAAAAAGCCTTTCCCAGAAAGAAAGAAAAAGATCACCAGTTGGAAGGAATGTTTCGTTTCGATTCACCTGTTGTGAATTAAACCACCAGGTTTGTTTGTTTTCCCCAAACCTCTCCTGCCAGAAAACCTTTTCCTTGTTGATTTGAGTGCCGAGTACCCTCTCTGTGTTGCACAGAATTATGTGGTGTGATTTAAAGTAGAACCTCAGTTGACACAGGGCACTGCGGACTGACCTTTAAGAAATAAACAGTCCTAGGTGCACACTCCACTGCCCATCTCAGGTGCTATAAATGGCGGGTGAAGGATGGCCGTGGAACTATTGGCTGTTAGAACTTTGGTCACCAGGGAGACCCTGATCAGCTTCCAGGGAAATCTAAGGTTCCCAGCAGCTTGTTGGAAAACAGGTGCATGTTTTAAACTTATTTTTTAACTATTGTTGGCAGGCATATTATCTGCTCAAAGTGTTGTACTACCTCCCTGACTGCTATCCCCACCCCCACAAAAAAAAACAATTCTCATCTGTGCTTCCTATCATTAAATCCAAAGGTTATTTTACTGAGCTTATTAGAAGGAATACTGCAGAAGGAACATCATGAATTAATAACCAATCTTTTGACTGCTGCAAAAATTGTAATTGCAAGGGACTTGCATAACTCTGTAAGGCCTGCCATACCAGAGTGAGTTACAATATTGTGGAGTGTTGCCAAGATTTTCAAAAATCACAAAGTTTGTAGGACTACAACTTTTTATGCAGCTAACAACTTTTTATGTACTTTTGGAAGAGTAAACACAAATAGGTTTGGATATTTATTTTTCAATTCTGTATGTAAATTTCTACTTTGCAAACAAAGATTTTTCTTTGTTTATCTGTATCACTGGAACTGATACTTGATATATCTTATGCATACCAAATTAAAAATTGAATGCAATTTCCCTGAAAACCTACATACTTCAGAACACCACAAGTCGTTCAATCTCACAATAAGATATTCAATTGCTCTGAGTTTGTTAAATAACTTCTGTAATCATGTTGGGCAGGGGGCGAGGGGAAGGAACGGTAACTTGAAATACAGAGACATGCAAGGATTCCATTTGCATGCTTTATGCCTCAGTGTACAAATAAAAAAGTAAAACAACCACTATGAAATCATTTTTCCCCCAGCTTTTACTTGTAAAATAGCATCAGATTCCAAATATAGTGGAAAGCACCGTTTTTTTATGTAATTTCAACCAAAGTATTACAGCTAACATTAGTCTATTTTCCAGCAGACCTTCCACCAGCTTACCTATTTATACAAATGCACAGGCACAAAAAGTGTACCAAATTCATCTGCAGATGTGTGTATGTGGTTTGAATCACTTTCCTAACTATTAAAAGGAAAATGAACACATACTCCCTTCTAATAAGTTTATCTTCTGTGTAAAACGTTATCTAAGGCTTTGCAATTATTACGAGTAAATTTGGTATAAAAAGGCCCATTTTTAGATGATCAGAAAATGTAAATTTAGAGGGAACATACCACTCACCAATACCCAGCCCATCCTATATTCCTAACATATTTAAAATAGCTTACTCTGTATGGGGTTGGTGGCTCCCAATTTACCCAGTCATAGTTCACATTGGCACCCTGAGTTACGTATCTTGCCCAGGGAGAAATACGGTAGAGGACTTCTCCACTTCTGCTTTTGATAACCACCTAGAAAATTAAATATAAAAAGAAAAAGTAACAGACAAGATTAAACTAAGGTCAGAATTATACATTCTAGGTAAGGAGAGAGGGCTGCCACAAAGTAGTAGCTTCACATTTTCTTCGCTTCCTCTGTTTCTCTGTAACATTTTTCAATTCAAAACATGACTGGAAAATATCATGAAGAGGCAGCCCCATAGAGGGTCCACACACAAAAAAGAACATTATACAAAACTGGTTATGGAGGGGAAAACCAAGCAGCAAGCTGCTGCATATAATACAAATTTGAAAATATAAACACATGGATGTATCTAGCTAAGTACCCCCCCCCAGTAAAGCCATTGAAATAAATTAGCTTAAGTTAGTCATGTCCATTAATTTCAATGGGTCTACTCAGAATGACTAACACTGAATACAACCCACTGTGTCTGAGAGCAGACTGAGGTAACGCCTGGTACGGAGAGCCAGGAGGGTCAATATACTACAATGCCATCATCACATTGCAAGTTTCTCCATCCCTCAAAGTTGCAGACTATTAAAAGTGGGCTAGAAAAAACATCCTTTAGGTATTTTACACTACTAAATGTTTCTGGGAGAGGTAACTTGAGGCTGATAGCAGCAGCTACATCTAATTCCACTGTACAATTATTATTATTTTACGTTTTCATTTGCAAAATATCTAAACTTACTGACCCCAATTTAGAGTATTGTAACAAATCACAAAAAAACCCAAATCAAAACAGGAATTCCTGGAGAAAAAAACCTGGCATTTAGCCAACAGCACATTGGGACTGTATTTACAAGAAAGCTCGAGGTTCCAAAGCACACATTCATTCATTATTTTTAAAGCAAATTTTATATACTGTGTAATAATAAATAAATAAACCTCTAATCAGTTTACATAAAATGGTATATAATATTCAGTGAAAATAGTGGCAAGTATTAAAAACAGTAGACACAACAAAAATAGAGAGTAAAATCAGGATCTTGAAAACAAATATACATAATAAAATTTAGGCTTGCCTAAAAAGAGGTTAGCAGGTGTTGGTTTGCACAGGGATCGTCTCAGTGCCAGAGTACATGTTGCCACGGGTAGGCTACCAAAACCTGCCTTAGCAAGTGATCCCTATCCCTACCTGTAACATATTATAAGTCTCACAACTTTGCCATGGTTGCCTGGAACATGCATTGAGAGTGAGTGACAAGACTCTGAGTGCAATGATGGGTAGGCTCACATTATGGTAGTGCAGTTCTTGCTCATCTCTTCGTTATCAATGCCCCACGAATGTCACCACAGAATGTAGGCTCACACAGAGGGACATCTATATCTTTGGGACTCTTTCTCCAGAATGTAAGCAATGCCTAACTTTGGGTGTTTCCACTCCAGATACCAGGCAATAACTTTCTATTTGTTTATGCAACTGGAATGAAGGCTACCATCAGACAAACAGAATATTAATCTCTCTCTCTCTCTCTTAAGTATATGCAGTACTTTTCATCAACTGTGTTTTTAGTGAGTATCCCAACTATCTGTACTGGGTCAACTTGAGAACTTTACAAAAATATGGAAAGAAGGCAGAAAGAATGGCCAAGATACAATTGTTAAAGCAGGTGTGGTCTGGAGGCAGTCAGAGAGGCAAACTGCAGTTATCTATGGAGTGTTCAGACTGAGGAACCAGGTGAAATCAATTGTGCAAAAGACTATTGACTCTTCTGATTTTGTGTGTGCACAGTTTTATTCGTATCATGCTAAGAAAACCCATGAGCAACCATTTGCGTGTTGAGTCACAGTAGCCCCCCAATAATTCACACTTCACACATCAATTTTTGTTTAAGGTTTTTGGCATAATTTTGGCCACAACTTTATTTAAATACAAAAATGTGAGTGGTTGCTTAGGCATTGGTTATGACTATCTGTCCTTGCCCTCAGGGACAGAGCTGGCCTTCCGGACACCAGCGGAAGCCAGCGTGGGAAACAAGTATTGGGTGAGAAATGAGGCGGGGCATCAGACCATCACTTCTCACCCTCATGTTCCTGTGGGGCTTGCACGGCCCAAGTCCGACTCCGGGGACAAGGACGAAAGAATGGCAAGCCCCTGGATTTCCTTTAACGGAATTCCCTTTCGCATCATTTGGAGGGGTAGGCACTTACCCCTCCAAGCACCAATTTAACCAATGCCTAACCGCCAACCTTACAAGTTGTGACGATTTGCTACGCAGTAGGCAAAAACCAAATGGCACCAGCCAATCAGCCAGATGGCAAAATTCCTACCAGGCCCCCGCACCAAGGCGAACGACCCCATGACAGGCATAGCAAGGTCAAGCAATCCTACAATACCCCCCTTAAAAGAAAAAAGGGAGGGAGGGCGGGTGATCCGATGCAAAACGGCCAAGAGGCCGTGCCAACGTCTGGCCCCTCTACATATAGACTCTGACCCCTCCTCCGAATTGGCAACAATCAAACACCCCAGCAACCCAGTTTAACCATTTAAATGGTTGGGTTCCAACTAAATTTGCCTAGTCACTGGAGGGAGGCCTGTTCCCAACCGCAACACGTGCTCTCTGTTAGGGAGAACACGCTTTGCGTGTTGAGTCACAGTAGCCCCCCAATAATTCACACTTCACACATCAATTTTTGTTTAAGGTTTTTGGCATAATTTTGGCCACAACTTTATTTAAATACAAAAATGTGAGTGGTTGCTTAGGCATTGGTTATGACTATCTGTCCTTGCCCTCAGGGACAGAGCTGGCCTTCCGGACACCAGCGGAAGCCAGCGTGGGAAACAAGTATTGGGTGAGAAATGAGGCGGGGCATCAGACCATCACTTCTCACCCTCATGTTCCTGTGGGGCTTGCACGGCCCAAGTCCGACTCCGGGGACAAGGACGAAAGAATGGCAAGCCCCTGGATTTCCTTTAACGGAATTCCCTTTCGCATCATTTGGAGGGGTAGGCACTTACCCCTCCAAGCACCAATTTAACCAATGCCTAACCGCCATGGAGCCCTCAGCTCACCGCCAAACCACTCACAGCCCCAGCCAAGACCTCAGCTTGGCCACCACCGCACCTAGCCAAGCCTCATTCCCAGAAGCAGAAAGGTGCACACCATCAGCTCTAAAGAGAGCTGCCGCATGATAGGAGATTTCATGGTGAAAAATCACCTCTCCACCCAGCTCCACAATCCTTCTGGAAACAGCAGCATTGATGCGCTTCCTGGCCCTTTCCGTGGCCACCGGGCAATGACTTCCCAACCAAAAACGTCGTTGCAAAAGCTTAGACCAAAATATCTTTGCTGTGGGCACCATTGCCTGCAGCGTCTCCAGGTCAGCCATAATTGCAGCACGTAGCGATAAACCAAGCCTCATTACCCGAAGCCGAAAGGTGCACGCCATCATCTCGGAATAAGGATGGCTTCTGAGAAGAAATCTCAGGATGAAAAATCACATCTCCGCCCAACTCCAAGACCTTTCTCGCCACTGCGGAGTTGATGCGGCTCCTGGCTCTCTCAATGGCGGCTGGGCAACGACTGCCCCTCCAAGCGCGCCGTTGTAGCAGCCTTGACCAAAATATTTTAGCTGTTGGCACCATTGCCCGCAGCGCCTCCAAGTCCGACAAAATTGCAGCACGCAGGGAAAAACAGTCCATAGAAACCAGGTCGTTCTCACCCAGCTGCACCACAATGGCCGATGGGGGTCCTTCCCATAGCAACTGCCTCTGAATCCGAGGCACGAGCTCCGACCAGCGCATTCCCCGTCTGGACAGCCAAGACAACTGAATATGCGGAGGAAGGCCGAGACCTGGACCCATTCCCTACTGCCGTGCTGCGACACCAGCCCAGTGGATGATGCTGTGTAAGATAAAACAAGCAAAAATTGTCAGACACCAATAATGTTAACGAACATAACCTTTGAATGCATTTGATTTCCAGTGACCTGTATTTTATTTCCACTGCCTTATTAACACGCTTTCCGGCCTTCTCGGTGGTAGTTTGTCCAGGCATTGGTTCCCAACTAGCTGCACCTGACCTCAGCAGGGCAGCCCTGACGACTGGGCCCCACCATATCGTCAGTACCAGCAAACATTGTGGGGGAGCAATGCATCCCAAGGCAATTGCATCCCGCCAGGTGTCGTTCCCCATAGGGGAAAGATGCACCCCATCTGCCCTAAAGAGGGGAACAGCCTTGAAGAAAAATAGCAGGGTGCAATATTACAGAACCACGTAAAGCAACGACCTATTTTATTTGTTATTTATTTACTTTATTTATTTTATTCTATTGTCCACCGCCTTATTAACATGCTTTCTGGCCTGCTCGGTGGTAGTTTGTCTAGGCATTGGTTCCCGACTAGCTGCACCTGACCTCAGCAGGGCAGCACTGACGACTGGGCCCCACCATATCGTCAATACAAATAAACAGCGTGGGGGAGCAATGAACCAGGATCAGACTCAAGCTCACCCCCACATGCTCCAGGGGACTCTTGTGTGGCCCTACCCCTTGAAAGGGGTCGACAAAAGCATGGCAAATCCTTGGATTCCCTTAATGGAATATCTTTGCACAATGGAGGGGACAGGTGCTCCAACCCCCCCTCCAGACCACCTTGAACCAATGCCTTGAATTATTTTGAGTCCAGGGAGAGCTGCCATCAACTCAATCCAAGCCCTCTTGCATGCAGGAATGCAAACTTATGCTGGAGGAAGACAGCAAACATTCTCGCCCAGCTGTACCACCAGCACTGCGGGAGGACCTGCACAGGTCACACTCGACCGCACCAAAGGAAGGATCTCCTCCCAAAGCATTCCCCATCTAGACATCCAGTATAGGTTCACATGGGCAGGAAGACTGAGATGGCGCCCCAGTCCAGACTCATCAGAGCGCTTGCCAGCCCAGTGTACAATGCTGTGGCCCAAATGTGCACAGCTGCTCCTATGAAAAAAGGAAATAACAGACAAGCATCAGCACAGACATCATTGTGACACTTCCTGATATAACCCTTGTCAGCGTCAGACTTCCA